AGTACGTACTACTATATATATATATATATATATATATATATATATATATATATATATATATATATCTTTCTATAAGATGACTCGATATAAATTTCTAAAGTAATTTTAAATGAGATTACACGAGAACCGTCTACATGATCCATTGAAATGCCTTTGATACTCGAAATAATAATAGAGGACAACTTACCTGCATGGCAGGGCAAATTGTGTATCCTGTTACAGTGTAATAAAAAAACTTTATTCTAGCTAGTCCATTATTCTCTCCAATTGCGACAGATTTATTTGTCTCTTGCCATCAATATGGATGGCATGGATTTATGGATCTCTTAAACATTATCCTTTGCATCATTATGAATTTTTCTATGCTCTGTAATTTATAGACTTAACATGTTTAATTGAAATTAAGTTCATAATAATATGTTTCTTTTTTAACAGCTATCAAGAGCACAGCTATCAAGAACAATTAATGTTTAATTAGTGTTTAAATACTACTAGAATTACTAGAATTACATTTAAAGAAAAACTTCATTACTTTTAAATTGTAATTACAACTCTCTTGTCTGTGTGATCTAATTTCCTTTCTACATATAAAGTAACAAAAAATTAATAATTCTATTAATAAAGTAATTTAGATATTATTTGAAATTAATCACTGATTAAGTTAATTGATGATTAATTAAGTAAATTGATGATTAATATCCATTTATATCAATACAGATTAATCTTAATTTATTTTACCTTTTTTAAAAATCAATAAAAGATAAAGAAAAATATAAATTGTAATCTACGTTGATAAACATGTCACTACAGAATTGCTTGCTTCAAGATTTCAAATTTCATAATTTCCTCGCATCATTCCTTTAATGAAAATTGAAAAAAATTAATTAATCTGTCTTAACAAAACAGTAGACAATCTCGTTTAATAAAGCTTGATTGACAATTGATCCGGATTTGATCAAAATCGTGTGAGAGCTTAGAACAAATGAGTGGCTTAAAGAAGTACACGTATTTTCCATATCTTCAAACATATCGTTTTCTCGAAGAATCTCACTCTCTTTTGCGAACACATTCTTGTTATTTAAAAAGAATCACCGGCACTCGCAACCGATGAGCAGAGGAACAAACGCGCCCTTAAGACGATTTGAAATTTTATCGAGACACACACAGTATTGCCAACGTGAAACACTTAAGCCAAGGTCCGGTTACGTTCGGAAATATACCTCAGTGACTCATATATCGCTTTATCCTTGTTGTTCCTCGAATGTTAAGCATAAAGCATATTTGTATGATGTTTCCGAGTGTAGCCTTATTTACTTGCTTTTTGCGCTCTTTCTTTTTCTAATATTGGATGCTTCCTATTTAGTGATACAAGTCGTCACATTCGTTGACTCGTATCGTTTTATCCTTGTTACTCATTGAATGCCAAGAAAAGTAGAATGACATTTGTGAAAAAGCATCTAAATGGAAAATGTCCTGTTTTCGGTCGCGAACGATTTCGATCGCCAATAAAATGCTCTTTCTTTTCTTTAAGATACTTCTATCATTGTGCGCAACACGTTTGAGTTTCATTTCACATGGCGAAAAGCGCTAGAGAATGCGAACGAAACGAACAAACCTACGGTAGGTGCGCGTGTCCCTATCCGTGCTTAACTTCACGCATCGGGGTTCGGGCGTGCACACGTGACACCAGGATCAAAAATTTTTATGAATTATTTATCGGATTGTTTACTAATGTGAATGTAGTAATGCAACGTGATGCATTGTAATGCCTCGTTGTGTCGATTTTTTTAGAATTTTTTTAATTATTTTGCGCCTGCGAGATTCGCCGCTACTTTTCGCCGGTTCCGGCGATCTCGGTTAAAAAAAAGCAGACATGAGGTTTGTTCCTCTTTCCTCTTTTCCCTCTTTTTCGATTAATCAGATATATGTCTCGACTTAATTGCAGATATTTATGTAAATAAAGAGAAGAAAATTCAATCGCAGCATGTATAAAATTCCAAGATGGCGCCGGCCAATTACAACACCTGTTCTTCCGAAGTGGCGTGAAAGAATAAAAAGGAAGAGAGAAAAAAATGGAAGATTCCTCTGTCACCCTCTGTAAACGCGAGTTTAAATAGTTTTGTTACCTATTTGATTTTTCTTTTTTCATCTAACTTGCGGAAAAACATTTTTAAGAAATTTTTTAATACGAGAAATTAAAAAAAGTTCTGCATCACTTGATATTTAAAATAAATTTCGCGGTTGAACGCTCGGTTTTTATATTCTCTTGAAAGTCTAATAGAGATCAAGTTGATTGACTTGTAAATCAAGTGTAAGTCAAGTGTTAAAAATACAGTGATCAACAAACTGGCAGGATATTTTACTGTGCAATATGAAGCAGAATGTTAAGTTCGTGGATTTGCTTGAGGATAGACGGAAAGATTGCGATCTCTTATGGATAACGCGCCCCATGGATCCATTGCTACCACATATGCTGCCACCCGATTCGGTCTACAACAGAGAGGAGATTATACGAGCTGTTTTGCTCGACAATCAAGTCAGACTGGCTATTGATACCATAGCAAGAACTACAGGTGTCAGAATTAAGGATGTCGAGACTAGCGCCCGTGCTATGATAAATGAGATGGCCAGCAAAGCAGACTTGGCAACAGTTCGTTGGCTAGGTATATTTTTGATAAATATTACCTAATCTTGAGTTGTTGATATTATATTCTTTAATTTATTATTTACTTCAATAGTGATTATTATATATATATTTTATTAATTGATGTTTTGTATCTGTTATTGCAAGGAGCTCTATAAAATAAAACTGTAATTCAATCAAATTATCAATAGATCTGTTTTTTGTTAAATGTCTTATAATCATGTTCAAAAATTTCAGGTATCTTTATCACAAAGGCTATGAAGAGAATGTTCTCAAAAATTTACATAAATGAAATGACATTTTCTAACTTGAAGCAGGAATCACAGATATCTCAAGTTCAATATATCTATGTGCCATCTCACAGAAGTTACTTAGATTTTATTCTACTGTCATGGATTCTCTTCTCCTATGATATGGCACTGCCAAACATCGCTGCTGGCATGGATTTTTATAATATGAAAATAGTAGGAGAACTATTGCGAAAAACCGGAGCATTTTATATACGACGTAGTTTTTCTGATGATTTATTATACAAGCAAATTTTCCGTTCGTATATTAACACTATTGTTAGCCACAGCGATAGGGCGATAGAATTTTTTATTGAGGGTACACGAAGTCGCAGCCAGAAGAGCACGATGCCAAAATATGGTGAGTAAGTAAAGAAAATATTAGATATTTCCAAATTATAAATGGATATTAAATTTAATATCATCCTTTTATAGGTCTTTTGTCCATCATTATAGAAAGTTTGCTTCAAGGTGATGTACCTGACATACACTTTATACCTATGAGTATTAATTATGAACGACCACCGGAAGAATTGTTATTTGTCTACGAAATATTAGGAATTCCAAAGCCAAAAGAAAGTACGGTCGGACTCTTTCGGTCACTCTCCATTCTACAGAAACCTTTCTCTTATGGACGCATTTTTTTCAATATCGGGGAATCAATATCCACTCGTCAACTTGTAGACAAAGACTATCGCAAAAGGAAAGTTCTAGATCCATCCTTCAAGATTCCGTCATCAGTAGTGAAGAATATAGCTTATCTTATAATAGAAGCTCACAAGAAGAACACTGTACTTATGCCGATCAATATCGTCGCTTTGCTTCTCAATGAAAGAATCCAGATAAAACCGAAAGAGCCGTATACGCTTGATTCATTAGCCAAGGATTATTGTTGGTTTAAACGTTTTCTTACCAAATCCTTGAAAGCTTTAATGTTCGACGAAATTGAAACGTTAGTATAGATCTATTTTTTTTAATAACGATTTGAAATTGCAATTATTAATATACATGACAACTTAAAAATTCTAGTCTTTAACTTCTGTCATTATATGATGATTTATAAATATTCTCAAACGACCACTGCTCTTCAAAACATATTTTGCAATTTGTGTTATAGTACTGATAATGATAAGATCAAACAGGAAATATTGGAATCCTTAAAACCGCATGACCAGTTGATGGTCTTCGATTCGTTGAATACGCTAAAAATCAAACAGAGACATAAAAGTAGCAAACAAATCAATTATTCAAATATCAAAGGATATCCTCTATCTGAACGAACTATGCAAATAGCGGTACCCGCTATTAATATTGTAATTTATGTCAATCCGACTTTAGCTTTTCTGGCGGAAACAACTCTCATTGCCGCGACGATAGGAGAGAATGGCACCCAAACTGGTAATGATTGCAAATATTAATAACATTAATGATTATTTTTATTTAGCGATTCATATAATATATAATATATAAAATGGAATCAGTAATTATTTGCTTTCGAATGCGAATAGACTGATTAAAACGTTAATTAATCTTATTTATTAAATTCAATCTTTTTACATTAATAAAGAAGGAATTTTTTTTATTAATCTCATATTTTATTAATCTGTAGGAATAGCTTTTGAACGATATGAAGTATTAAGAAGATTGCTCAGCACAGAATTTGTGATGCGTCCGACTGAAGACAAAATTTTAATCAAAACAGAATGGGAAAAATCGTTGAATGTATTGCTATTAGAGGATTGCTTATATATAGCAAATAATTCAATTTTTATAGGAAATAATACTAAATTATTTTCTATTTTACATAACGTTATATTACCTTTTATAGACGTTATATATGTAATATGCACTATATTATCTGAGGTAAGAATTTATCTCAAAAAAATTTTAAACTTAATGAGAGATGTATTAAACATTAATACATATTTTTTTTTGCTTTAGTGGACAGAAAGAACGTCAGTAGAACTCACGGATCGGACGATTCTTATCGAAACGCAAAAAGAAGTAGAAAGATTAATGTTTGAAACTAAGGACTGTTGTCAACATCCCTACTGTTTATCACTCGATTTGTATAACACAACATGGTCTAATTTATTATCGCAAGGTATTGTTATCGCCGAACATTCGAATATATTTCGAACAGATAAAACAAAATTAATATATCTTATCGGTGCATTGCGCGAATTACCATTAAGACGTTCTGTGGAAACTTATATTGATGTATTTCCTTCGATTATTTCAATGTCATCAGTGGATATACAAGCTAAGCTGTAACGATTGTTCAACTTCAATAATAACATTAATTAATATCTATTAATTAACGCTAATTAATATTAACAATCGATTTTAGTTGAGATATATGTATCGATATACTGCATTTTATTTTGATTTCACGAGCCGATGTAGAATGCGATTTACTTGGTGCTACAAATGCTTCGAATCGTTTGATTAACCAATTAGAACAAAGACCTTCATGAATCAAAAAATTCTTTGAAGCATTTCTCTGTAGCACCAAGTAAACCGCACTCCTAGACCTACAGGGTACGTCATTATTGGTGGCACAATTGGGAAAAGAATAATTTCTCACGAAAAAAGAAATAAAAAGTCAAATTTTTTTATACAAAGTTTTGAAAGATCCATTATTATTGGATAATATTTTTACAAGCATTAAAATTTTCAAATATTGAAAACTTTTGTTTAATATTAATTAAATGTTAAATCTTGTTTTATAAAATAAGAAGGAAAAAATTTGTAGGAAGAAATTTTTCCGTATATTTTCAATATATTTTTTTCATTTAGAATCACCAATTTTCCTTACTTGTTTCCACCATCAATAACATACTATTTTATATTATAATTTATATTATTATTTTATATTATAATTTATATTATTATTTTATATTTAAAAATCGGGCACGAAAGTGTTAATATTGCTAAGTATCCTAGCAGTATCGTCATCGAGATCATTGGATCTTTTTCTTCTACCGAGAAATATCGCAGCAGCGGTTGTGGTAGTCGTGGGCATATTAAGATTCCGGAAGAGAAGCTACAAGGATTTTCATTGATAAGAAAATAGATTGCAATTTTACAATTTACTAATGTTAGAAGAATAGTGCATTTAAAAATTTCTTCTTACCATCACTAATCGGATAAGGTAAACTGCGAACGTAAGAAAGGATATGGCCATCAGTGCGCCTTCTATAGAGGGAAATCCTAAAGAATGATCGTCGTGATCATCATGTCCATAATCGACACCTCTTATTTTACGACTTGGTGCCATAGTAGTGGTGAGGCGAGATTCTGTTGATAAAATAAGAATAAACTATCTACATGCGTTTCTGATAGAAGTGCCGAGAATGATTCTGCAAATCTCACCTATCTCCGATATTAATGTCTTCTCGAACGTTTTAAGAAAGTAAAGCTTTCCTTCGATCGACGCTGGCTGCGATTGTAAAGTATGATGAACACTTTTAAGTATATCTATAGGCAGGTATTGGAATATACCATCATTCGTCTTTGATGTAGAATTGTAATATTTATTTTGCGATGTTTCTTGCTTAACATTTGGTGGTGGTTGAGTTGTAACTGTGTCAACTATTGTACCCTTTGTTGGCGAGATCATATCGCCTTTGTTATTTAATTTATTCTAAAACATTTATAATATTACAGAGTATTTCTCTGAAAAATGTTTTGTTTTTAGAAATATAATTTTTTATTAATTTCAGTTGTTTATCCGTTTACCTCACTTATAATATCAGCAGTCATTGTGGCAGTGCGATTTTTACCGATGTCTGCAAAACTATCGGCGATTTGAACAGGAAATAAATTCGCTGGCGTTGTCGACACCGAGATAGAATTTATCTTTTTAATATCTGTTCTTTTATTATGCATCATGTGCGTGGCTGGACGACGATAAGCTTGACTGTCATTTCGTTGGCCATCAGGAAAATTAATGTCCGCGTCACCTCGTCTGAACTTGTAAAATTGATCGTATTGTATAGAAGGTATCCTTAAAGAGCATAACAAAAGCAATATTAATCTAAAGGAATCTACGAAGAATGTGGTGTCACTGACTTACCTGTAAATTTTGGTCTCGTCCGAGAACTGCGGCATGTCCACCCATTCCGCAACGTTAATATTCAGAAAAAATATGATATAGAGAGCACAAAATGTGCCGCGCACAAACATATTTGGACACGCAATGTTATATTTGTGTACTATCCCGCAAATGAAACACACCTCATTCTCTGTACGAGTGGTGTTGTCTTTAATCGAACAATACGCGAATTTTTTTCCGTTTCCTACCGCGAATCCGTAATTCGGAAACTGTCTGGCGATGGACATGGACATGCCGCAGAGACACGCGTGAGGAGACACCATTATTTCCGGCAGAGATGTTCTGTTAGGATTAAAGAGAACGAGACGCTGATGATGCTCATGCGTCGGGAACGGTTGTTACAGAAAAGTCTATCCTCTCGTATCTTTTTCCCTTCTTACAATTTATTCTTGCGTGATGCTAATTCAATCAATTACAATTTATTCTCGCGATACTGACGACAGATTTTCCGAGAGAAAGATTTCAGGGAAACTTTGCGGGGTATATAAATAACGTATATTATTTCCTGGAGATAAGGCAAATTCCTAGTTTATTGGTACCAGTATTTTCAGATAAAAGACTTAGAACGATATCATGTAAATTAATTTAATATCAAAACTCGCACGTGGCACTGAAGAGCCAGCTTTCCTTCCGCTCGATTTATAACGCAGCGATTTACGAAGAGACGCGCATACATGAGTGTAGTCGTGCTTATTAATGATTATTCTTCGTTACTACTACCAGAAAAAGAATTATACATATAAATTGAAATCTCTACTTGACACTAAGTACATAAGCCGGCGATCTATATTATTCATTTTTTCTTATCTCGGGATATCAAATTGAGTATAATATATTTATCATCAAACTGCACGATACACTATTTTCTTGGTCTAGAAAGTACTAACTCCGCTTAAAATATGGAATAAAATGTAAGTCGAATTTGTGTACATGAGAGTCAATAAAACTCTTTAAGTATTGTACGAACGTTGCTTATATATAAGATATATTCTGCCTTTCAGCCGTAAAAGCATAAGATTAGCACGATGGTAAGAGATTACGGTAATAGCATTTGTTCCTACATTGGAGTCCCTTTCTTCCTCTTATGCGGGAAGAATATTTAAATGCATTGTGTTAAATGCATTGAGTATTGTAAATGCATTTCTGCAAACGCAACATTGATCGCGTATGCACGACTTCGAGATTACATTTGCATAGCGTAAATAAACTCTTAAGTATAATATATATAATAATAATAATATGCGCATAGAACATTGATTTATGATAGCTTACGAATAAGGTATTAGGATAAACTTTTAAAAGTTATTATAAAATATAACAATTAATGCCTGTTAACGCACGCGCTTATATCTCTTATGTTACAAATGCATCGATTACCTCTTTAGGTTTATCATTATTTTGTATTATAATATTCTCGCCGGATTTATTTGTTCTCAAGGAATGCATAGAAACCGCACTATTGCGTTTACATGATACAAAATGAAATTATCTTTTATACTACTACTTATAAAGTTGTTAAAGATATAGGCCGTTGTAAGAGTATAATGCCAATTTATATGATTCAATGCATACCCAACTATTCAAAATCGAATATATTCTCTTTATAGCTAAATATTTCTTCTCTGAAGAGAAGATTGCCCCTTTGTTAGTTATCTGATGAAATATTTCGAATAGATTAATCTGAATAAATCAATTATTAGGCTAATGCAAAAGCTTTATCATTTTTCTTTTTAAATTCTATTTTATACAGAAAGTTACTAATCCAAATTTTATTAAAAAAATTTTCTTTAGATAAATAAAAAGTTGAAATGGTTGATGGCAATTATCTTGTTCAATAAAAATATAGTTTAAGATTATGCAATTCATGTATATTTAATGAGTATGATATTTTTTGCACCATCCTAATAATTTTGATAAATTTTTTCGCATATAACACTAATTTCTAATTCGCTAATTTAAGTCAACCTCATTTATCATATTGACTACTGACACAATCATCGTTTTACACTATCGATATGACAAATTTTAGAAAAAGTGAGTATGTACCATCGCATTTAAATATCCATTTCATTCAATGATTCTAATGCAATAATCACAAAGACAGACTAATAAATGCTTTTCTTCTTGAAAGTTGTAAAGCTTCACAATATAATCAGATTAATATTAATAGAGATTCGCTGATTGCTACTAATGAAAACTGAGATACTAATATCATATCACCGTTTTATATACTTATTATATTCTTTAAATTAATATGTATAATATGTATAATGATTATATATCTTGTTTACATAAAACATTCATCTTAGAAGCAGTGCTTATATATAATCTTTAAAATATGTTAAAAATATAAAACAAATCTTAATTTTAAAATAAATTTGTAAAAATTTTAATAAAAATGTTGTTCTTGTAATTGTCTTTTAAATATTTAAAATAAATTTATAATACAATAGATAGAAATTAAAGATGTAAAAAGATATAAAAATATTTAAATTATATTGCAACATAAATGATTTGTGATTAATCTGAATTTGCATATATTTTATACATGCTAACATGTTTAACATCAATGATTTTATTTGTACCCATACATAAAACATTTAAAAAATTGAGATTCTGAAGTACAACTTTGATCTTTCTTCATTTGCTTAGTGATTTATAATTGATGATGATTTATATATTGAATTAATCACATGCAATTATCGAATATCAATTTATATTTTTATAAACTCTATTCATTAATTTAATAATATATTTTAAAATAAATAAGAAATATATTAATTTATACAAAAAATTAAAATAAATATAATTAATTTATACAAAAAATAAAATTTTATGTATGGGTATTATTTGACTATTGTCTTCAGTTGAATCTTTTGTATGCTTTAACTCGCTAGTTATATATTAATACATAAAAATAAATTTAAAGCTATCATTAAAAAGCAGATTTGTTAATAAAATATATAATGCATGAAACAATTTTCATTTGTTGTTAACAATTTTGTTTTGTTGTCGAGTAAATCTTAACGAGAAAATAAAGAAAATTTCTGTAAATTTATATAACTTTTTTAAACCAATAAATATTTTATAGGAAAACAAAAGGCATCCCAAAAAGAGCACATAATCAATAAAAATCAGCAATAAATTTATAAAATATTTCAAATGCTTTATCAAATAATATTATTTGCCTAAAATTAAGCAATAAAAATGTCTACATTGTTATAATGTAGTTTAAATAGATTATATAATTGACCCCTACAATTAAAATCTGAAGATTTTTACATATTTTTTCTTTTTTAAATAAAATTAATTAAATATATATTAAACAAACGCGGTATTTCGATTTCTAAATTTCATGAACAAGGATACTGTCCATTTTTTATTCGTTATTTATTTATCTCTACGTGTAATATAAATTAAAATAACTTTGTGCTAGAACCACTTTATGGGAATGTTAACGTTATGGAAGCTTCTCCTGAACGTTTCATAATGTTATTAAGTATTTTGGAAGAAATAAGAGTATCCTGAAATGCATAAATTCAGAATGCTGATATCGATCTCATTCTAGAACGGGAAACGATATATTCGAGATATCATCCGAAAGACAAAATTGTACTAGTTTTCACGTACTTTTACTGAGTCAGGCACGAATAAAGCGCCGTAAAGTAGCCCGAGCATATCGAGCCCAGCCTTTGTGCAGTGACAAGGAAGTCGGTAATGTCTCGATGTTCAAAACAGGCGAACAGTTCTGTCATGTTTCTTGATTACTGTACGCCATCCAACGTGCATCGTCGCTTTCGTGAGTTAAGTAGCGATAGCCAACTTTCTGCTCCAATTTCCTCAAGTCGCACCAAGTTTGATAATCCTAAAAAAAAAATTTTTCATGATAATTAATAATGAATAAATAAAGATCAAATAAAATATAAAAATAGTGCTTACTTGTAACCATACATGTTGTAAGCTTCTATCTACGGTGTATCTCTTCCTCTGCTTAACTTGCAAAAGATTATTGATCAAATCAATAGCTGAAAAAGAAAGAAATAATGCAAAAGAATATAATTTATATTATTAAAAAAAATCTTATTCGTTGTGCATTGCTCAAGAGCAAGCTATAAAGAAATAATGGAAATATTAATTACCATCACTCGAAATTTCTTTCCATGGTGTTGGCGGATACATAAAGGCAGCGTTTTGAATCTGTTCATTGATATCTTCTTCCTCATTAAAAGGAAAGGTACCGCTTAATGATACATATATAATCACACCAACGCTCCACATATCCAGGGAACGATTGTAGCCTTTATTTCGCAAGACTTCTGGCGCCAAGTACGCCGGAGTGCCCACGACGCTTCTCCGAAAGCTCTTCTCACCGATTATCCTCGCGAATCCGAAATCACATAACTTCACTTGGGTGAAGTCCGTATCGCTGCTCAGTAACACATTTTCCGGTTTCAGATCGCAATGCACGATATTCTTGCTGTGGAGGTGTTTTAGTGCAACCAATATCTGAGTTATGAGGAACTTGGTTATCCGTTCGCTAAGTCGTCCTTTCTCGGAGCTCAAAATCATCTCTAGCATGTCGCCCTTCAATTTCTCCATCACTACGAATATTCGTTCCGGCGTCTCGAACATACGTTCCAGATTCACCACTCCACTATGCGACAAATTCTGCAAGATAGCTACTTCATTCTTTAATTGGGCCTCTTGCTTAGTGGGAAAACGTAGCTTATCGATGACTTTTATCGCGACCGCGCGACCACTCTTGCGATGAACACCTCCGTAAACTATGCCGAATTGTCCAGATCCTAAAACTTCGTCCGGGAAGATCTGATATAGCTGTGACATATCGGTAATGTTTTCCTCGGGCTCGGTAGGTTCTTCCTGATCTATAATATAAATGTAATGCCTTCTGTATCTTTTATTTCTGAAAGATCTCAATACACATCACACACGTGACACAGCTGTGACTAAATATAATGGGGAAAAAATCTAAAATATATACTAATAAAAGGCGTGAAAGAGATTTTGTGTTATTATCTTGAACAGAATGTCATAACAGCGAACCAAATATACATACTAGTTGACACAGTTACAGGCATAAGTGCTTGTCTAATAGTAGTTTCCCACGATCTAGCTATATGAGCTCCGATACCACTTTCAGGAGGAGAGACTTGGCCGCAATTATCTCCGTATGATGGATCCTCCCCGACATAGTAATCGGCATTGACAGTTTTTAGCTCAAAGCAATGCATTATATCTACAATACAAAGTAGGCAGTGTGTAAGAAATTTAACTGAAGAAAGCTTGTCGAATTGTAAAATCTTGAAAAAAAAAAAGAAAAAAAAAAGAAAAGAACAGAAAAATGCACTTAAGGTTAAAACTTCTAATTCGTTCGCAAACAAAAACATACATGAACGAGGCATTTTAGCAGTTTCTATAGCTGAAATTTCAGCTAATGGAATCTCCTTATAATATTTAGAACCATTCTCACTTTGGAATAGCGTTATAGACTTTGTGTCAAGCCGCCAATAATGTTTTTTCTCTGGAAAAATTTATAAATATTTAATAATTCAATCATGTATAAAAGTAGAATGTTATGATATAGTATAAAAAATGATTTATATGTATATATATTTCTATGCAGTTAATAATTTAAATATTAATATCTGAACATATCAAAATATTCATAATAATTTGCAATGCTTTTATAAATACTCACGACTGGATCACGATTTGTGAAATGTACCATCCAACCTTCTTTTAACACTTTAGATCCACGTTTTTTAGTATGTTTCACACTTTGTACTATTCGCATTAATGGAATGTTGTTACTTGGTGTAGAACTACAGCTTTTATTAACAAAGGGAAGAGAATAAGAGAAAGAGATGAGAAAAGTATATAGAAATATATCTCAAATAAATGCAAACGTAAAAATAAGAAATTTAAGCTTACCTTGATGCTCGTCGTGATTTTTGATACTCATCATAAACAACGTCATCGTTAGAATGTGCTTGATCCTTTAAGCAATTTCAATATTAAAGAATTATTTTTATTTCACGTTCTGTATGAACTCTTAAAGAGAATAACTTACCACGTAATCACCGGGTATTTTCTCATTATTTGTGAATGGTACGTCTTGTATCAGAGGTGATGATTCTGTGTCACTGTCAGCATCAGCTTCCTCACTCCTAATATCACATTTGGTTTCTAGTTCACTGCCAACACCGCTATCTGTATATTCGCCTAAGAAAGCGTAAATATCTTTAATTCATCACATCTGCACACAAGATTGTAGACTGTCTAAATCTACGTACGAAACGTTCTACCTATATTATCTCGTGGATTTTCTCCAGTACAGTCTTTTGGTATTTTATCCATACATTTTTTGTGCGTATTGTATTGACAATCTTTACATTGAAGGCCTTGCTTAAATATACCTTTTAGCAACTTTTTACAGTACCCGCATACAGTCGGGCGCGTGTACGTGTGTACTACGAATGTATGCGGAATTTTTATTCGCGTCGCGAGCTCTCGCTCTACCCAAACGGGCCGCCCTCCTAATATAGGTGAAGAGGACTGTTTTGGTGCCATTATACTCGGTATTGCCTACAAGATAGTATACACATTTATTCATGTTCGCGCAAAGAATTTCGCAAATAAAAAGGAATTAGAAAAACCATCAGTTGTGTTTATTTGTTTTCAAAGGTGCATATACATTAAATTACAGTCGAAACGATATACTTTCGCTCATACCAATGTACTATTAGTTTGGCTTGTGTTAAGTGTACTATTTGAACTGTGATTATCATCAGTATTGCTCGTCAGGCTGCTAGTGGAACCTTGACTTGGCGATCTTGGAACATTCAGTATAGCCGAACTACGCCGTCTCTGACTCGCGTCTTGCGAACAGTTATTCGGTACTTTGATGACGCATCTTTTGTGATAGTTCATACCACAGCCTACAAAATTATACAAGAAATATTTTCAAAATTGTTCTGTGTAATTTCATAGATCGGAAAGACGACTTAAGGAAATTTATATATTTGATTGATACAATGGCATAAATATCTTAAAGTACTTATAAATTTACCTTCGCACTTGAGACCTTGTCGAACGAGTCCAAATAACATTTCACCGCAAAAATCACAAAATGTTGGAACTTTGTAGGAATGTACCGCTAAAGCATGAGGTCGAATGGGAATGTATTCATTTGGCACTTGTGCTAAAATATTAGAAACAGTTTCTTCCTTGTAATTGCGCAACGTCATGTGTACAATCGAAACTTGACAATCGCTGTCAACATGCAAGAATTTCTTACCAGTCAACACGATTTCTACCAGCGTCTCGTCGACTACCTCTGTAGCATTTGTAACGAGTTGCAGAACATTTGTGGAATTATAGTCATGCTTGAATAAAATTAATCTCTCAAACAGATGATTCAGTCCGTGCTCTGGACACTTGGTATTTATGAAATCACAGGCGAGATCTTTCAGGGCCTTAAGAGTAAGTGTGCTGCTGTCGACTGTGACTGTGTCACGTATCAGACCGAATTGGAATAAAAATGTAACTTCCGTCCCCTCCATGATGCTTTGTGTCTTTTTTCCTGTAATATATGATATATAAACTTAACAAATCATACATCATCAAATCGTAATGTACAAAAAATTACATTTCAACTTTCCAAGTTCTTGTTTTATCAAACAATTAGTAAAAATAATTCTTTTGTTCTCCCCGAAAGAGAATAGCATAAAGGATTTATATTTTTAGAAAAGATCTGGGATAAAAGAGAACTCTATGCATAACAAACATATGAATAAACAATCGATTGTTAGATAGAACTGTAAAAGTAATTAAAATAAATTAGAGTATCGCGGTATTTATGCAAAAACATTAGATCACGTATGCCCCTTCTGTCATAATATCAGAGAATCATCTGCGAAGCGATTTACGTTGGCCTTTTTCCCACGGCAGTGAATCATTCATCGTTTCGACGATGTCCGAGTAAAATATTCGAATAACACGAGTTAGGCATTCTAATGATTTGCCAGGGAAACGCGATGATCTCCTTACGGGCCAAGAGCATCCTCGACAACGGCGGCTTATCCGACAGGAGTTTCGTAATCGACCTGCAACACGCCCGGTGCGTCTCGTGCGAATTCTCGCGAAGCAAGGAAAAAGCGAACACGGAGTGAGCAAGAGAGAGCAAGAGTAAGGAAGAGCGAGCGAGCGAGCGAGCGAGCGAGAGCGCGCGCGCGCGCGCAAGAGAGAGAGAGAGAGAGAGAGAGAATGGGAGATGAGCATACGGCGACAAAGAATTGCACGCACACCAATGATGCCCCGAGATTCCGGGGATCGGGACTTTTTACATACTTCCTCGTGCGCTTTGTCCTGCCAGCACCGACGTGGATGTGCGATGCAGCTGCCTTAGCCTGTCTCTGCCTCTACCTCACCTCAATAGGAACACGGCGGCATAATTGACAGGCGGATCGTGAGCCAGCCAGCGAGCGATGACAACGTCGTGCGCGGCGTCAAGTCCATGCCTGACACACATTCGCCGATGACATTTTACAGTTATCTCCAGGTGACCGACCCACCTTGACGTAAAACCCTCTCCGCCGCCCGCAGCCAGTTATTCACACTCCACTTCCGGGCGGCTACGATGACCAGCAGCGCTCCGGAGTGCGACGCCGAGGCGGCAAACGAGACACCGGAGACCGGAAATGAGTCTGGATGGTAACGTTGGACATCACCGATTGCTTCTCTACGAAGCAAAGACAAAACTGTAATACGGTTGGCATTATCGCGAGATGAAACATAAAATAAATGTTTCAGAAAATGAACAATTATTAGAGACCAAGATTTCTAAATTAGAAATCAAAGTTTTTAAATCGATAATCTTGAAATTTTTTCTCGATAATGAACACAATTATATAATAAAAATTTCTAAATATATGCATAATTTTAATACTGTAACAATAGTTGAATAGTAATGCTGTTATATTGTTGAAAATTTATTTTAATTTGTCAAATAAAAAATAAATGCATGAAAACGATTGTCATTTGGCGTTTTCTTTTTACTTTAAGATAAATAAGCAAAAATATATTATTGTATGTCACATTGTAAAAAAAGTGTACAGAATTCAAAAATATATCTATTTGAATTATAAATAGAATAATTTTGCATATATGTATATTTGCTTAGTGTATAGATTGCAGATATGTTACAAGACAGTTAAATTGAGATTAAAATATTAAATATGAAAAAAGAATATAGAAAAAAGTAAAATATTATAAATAATATAAATTAAATGTAATACTATTGAAATAAATGCTATTTCTATTATCTGCTTTTTTTTATATTAAAGTTCATGGAAAACAATATAGATTTAAAAAGACACGAATAAAAATTCAATAATAAAAACAAATGTTAAACACTTGGATTAAAAATTAATAAAAGTTATATGTAGAGATATTAAAATATAGAGGTTTGTCTTATAATAGTTATTTTGCTAAACACTAGAATTATTTTTGTATATCTTTTTAGTCATTTTTCGAATGATATTTGTTAGCTGTGAAATTCATACAAATAATATAATTATCATAGAAATAAACATGCATACATACATGACATAGAAATAAACAATAACATTAAGAAAAAAGATCAACGTATTATTATTAGCAACAAGACTGTTTGCGAAAGAAGAATTAATTGTTGAAAAGTGTCAAATCGGGTTAGATTTTATTTTTTGATGCGGATTAATTGTGTAATACATTTTCAGTGATTATTATAGATGGAACAACTACATAATTTTGATGACAAAAATTCGATACCTGTATCGAATCAAGAGCAGAATAAAAATCAGAAAGGGAGAAACCAGAAAAACCAGAAGGGGAGAACAAAAAAAAAGAAGAGAATAATAAGATTAATACATTTTCATATGATATAGTTTATCCTCGGACTTATCGTCAAGAAGATAATACATACGAATGGGTAAATTCTTAGATTCTAGAATTAAAATTTTCGTTTAATTATAATTAATGAAGTTTAATATCACTTTCGTTACCGACACGTATATCGGCATATATAATTATTTTTTATATAATTATTTTTTCATCTAAAATTTTTATGGCGAAACTATCGAAAATGTATCGAGGAATAATAGACATGTTTTTTTATTTAATAATTTGGTAATAAATATATAAAATTATATTTACATTACATTTGGTATACGTGCAATATTTGGTAAAATAGGAAAAATATTTAGCAATTTAGCAAGTTAATGATTTAATATATTTTATTATTAGCTTCTAATTGAAAAAGGTACCTTGAAAACATTCAATAAAGAAAAATATGAATATTTCTCAGACGAAAATCTCATAAGTGCGAAGCAAGAGATCAGTAAAGAGATTATCAAAACACCATGTCACAAGGTAATAAATGTAACAATTTTCCAAGTTCATGTTTTGATGTATTTTTTAAGAAATATATTCTTTAAAAATACTCGAACTAATTCGGGACATGTAAATATAAGATTATTGTACTTTGAAAGTCTCTATATTTTCACGGTTTCAAAATTATAAATAGAAATAAATGCGTAAAAGTAAAGGATTAAAAAAATATTGAATATAAGAAGCATAATAATTGCCTTTTTTTTATATTAATGAATAATTTTAACTGTATATAATTTATTAATCAAAACTGAGAAATCAGTTTGAATAATTATTTTATCGTGTTTTGCGTCCAGATAATAAACATAAGTATGTATATGTAAGAAATTGTCCCGCTTGCGATACAAAATATTAGCATAGAATGTCTTAAAAGCGTTCCTTAACCAAATAATATATGGATTGTTTAAGGGTTTTACCTCTCTCGAGGAAATCGGTTTCAACATCTATCTGAAATATGAATTATCCCAACATCTTGACAGTCTTTTAACTCGCGGAGTAATTTACACTCTTCAGCAGCTTTCAAGACCCCAAAAGACGGCTGGCGTGATAGCAATATCAACAGGGAATTTCGCTTCAATTCTTTGCTATTATGGATGGAAATTTAGAATTGCAGTAACGGTGGTGATACTGGACTCAGCGGACGATGAAGTACTCGAACTATGTGAACAATATTCAAATTCAGTTTCATCAATAAATGTGATTAAGATTAAGAGTGACAGTCTGTTAGAAGCTCACAAATTCGCCTTGGCCTACGCTATTAAACATGGTCTAGTGTATCTTGATAGGTGCCTTTTTTTTATTTAAATTTGTTGTCTAATATGAAAAATATTTTACTTAAGAAATGACATTCTCTTCAATTATTATTATTTTCCGCGCGCATTATATTTTATTTCTTAATTTAAACATTGAACGAATAAATTAAATATTATTATTGCTTTAAAGGACGCTTGTTTTGTTAATAAATAAGCAGTTTATTTATTAAATTATTGAACGACATTTTTTTCGTTAGTTACAATCATCCGAACATGATCATTGGTCAAGCCACAGTGGGTTTAGAAATCCTAGAACAAATGTGTGATTCCATTGATGCGGTGATATTGCCGACGACGTTCAATGGTTGTTCATTAACGGAAGGTATGGCAGTAGCGATCAAACGACGTGCTCCAGAGATACAAGTTATTGTGAGTCAAAATATACCTATCTAAATTACCAATTGCCAGTCGTAAATTATCATTACACATTTCTAGTATAGTTAAGAAGCGAATTGCATTATTGTAAATAAATTTAGAAATTGCAATTTTAATTTTAGAAAGTTAAACCTAATGCTATTGATCGTAATATGGAAGGAGTTAAACAAGAGGCTTTGCGTAACGAATTAAACATTCCAGTAAGAGGACGTTATTTTTGTTATGACAATCTGGAGAAAAGCTTTATCGACAAATGTATTACGATAGATCAAGCATGGATTGATATAGCGACCGAATATCTATTAGATACTGAAAGTGTTTGTGATCTTCACGCTTCAATTGCTTTAGCACCGATTCTATCTGGTCAGCTCGACAATTTAAAGGGAAAAAGGTGACTTTTTTCTAAAACCTCGATAATTTTCTTTTAAATTCATTAATTCATTAATTCTATAGATTTCTATAACGATGAGTCTATGTATTTTATAAGTACTAGCTGTCTTAATATATGTATGATATAATGTAATGTTATATAAATAACATTGTAATTTTTTACGTTCCAGTGTGATAATACCTTTATTCGGCAGAACTGATTCAATGGATTTCGTAAAGGCTGATCGATATGCGATGCTTATAAATGCTATAAATCGACGTTATTTTACACTATAACTTACTTAACTGCATATTTAGATCATTTGCAAAATCAAGAACAAAAATTCAATTAACATGAAAATCGTTGTTTCAATGATGGCGTTCTTGTAAGGATTAAATGAGGATATAACTTTTCCAATAACTTTATCTTATTTATTGTAAATACATTTTTATAAAACTTCAAGAATTCTTGAATTCTGTCGATAAGAAATACATATAAATAAACATATGTTGTATTAAATGTATATATTTTATTTTTATGTTTTTTTTGTTTATTTTTTTAAATTTTTTTTTACTTTTTTTGTTTTTTTTATTTTTTTTTATTGTTTTTTATTGTTTTTTTATGTTTATATTTTATTTTTTCTATGTTTGTATTTTATTTATATATACATAGATAAAATATATATATTAGGCTTTATGTTATTAAAATTTCATAGCATTTTTGCAAATTTTGTAGCTGCTTATAAACTAAAATGAAATATGACAAAAGTTGTAATAAAGAGTAAAAAAATTTGAAATTTTAATAAAACATAATATAAATTATGATCGACATGGCAACAATTTATTATATTGCAATACTTATGTAATGTTTGATATAATACAATACAATTTATAATACAATACAAGAATTAATAAAATATAATTTAATCATAAAACTATAATATATCATAAATCGCAATTCCTCAATTAAAATTCGATTACAAAAACTTTAGAAGGTTAATTGCAAATATATGTAAAAATTTATTAAGTATATTTTTATAATTAAAATTTAATTTTTCCGTTCCTTATGCAACGGAATTGTTAAAAAGAAATTACATTTGGAGAGTTCGCGTGCATATATCGGATAGGTTTTATTAAGTTAATTAATTTTGAATTGAAACGCGTGTGCAAAATCTGGTATTCTGGAGAGTACATTAACAAATTCTTGTGACGTAATGTTGCCTGTACCAGAAAACTCCACTTCCTGCAGTATCTGAAAAAACAAATCCACAGAACTTAATCATGAATTACTATATGGCGTTCATTGCGACTCTGCGAAAAGTAGGTGAGTTAAAAGAAATTGATAGGAATTCTTCCAGTTAAAAGTCCAGTTAAAAGGAAAAAGAAGAAAATTATATTTTAAAAATAAAATCTTATTCGAGAAGACGCACTATGTTGAAACGAGATAAATATCATTAAGAAAAGAAAGAAGTTTCACATTTGAACGGTAGAATGTAAAATTAATTTTTTTTTTTTTTTTTCTTTTAGCTAGAAGGACCACAGCATGAGAGAAAGAGAGTTGAGCAGTTTTAGAAGCAATTTCCGGCTTTGAAGATTGCAAGTGCAATTTTACAAAATTAATTTCTCTACGCGTAAGGCAGATCCTTTCAATTCACCTACTTTCTACCGCGGAGCCACCAGCAACGACCACCGGAAATTTGTTGCGATAGAAAGCGGCCTCTCGACTTTCGGCAAAGGATTAATCGCTTCTCGATTCCGTCCTTTGTAGTTGCGTCGAAGACGCACAGCAGGAATGCACACCGACCATTCGCGCTACGTTCTCCGCGCGTTGCCGATCGATTCGGGCCTGTCCGCGCTCGTCCGAGCCCGCCAGCCTCCGCACCGTTTCGATCAGATCGTCGAGAGAGACTTGATTGTCGCCGTCGAAATCTGGAAATGAAGATGATCAGCGATGGTCTCTGTTTGCATTCACGCACTCGAAACGAATTCCGAACATATGCGCCTGTGTGTGTGTGTGCGCGCGCGGCATCGGCAAATAAAACTGCAAAATGTCGCGAAAGGTAGAGCCACGGATGAAATCGATAGAGAATAGAAAAGAGAAGGATATTTGCCAACTGTACAGTGAGAGAGAGAGAGAGAGAGAGACGGAATATTTCTCGATTTCTCGAATTTTGCGCGATATATTAATTAAACGGAATAACAATTTTTGATTTCTATTTATTTGAAATTACACGTGCTAATATTTAATGAAAGATGAAAGTTACTGCTATTATGGATTTTTGCAATCAAGTATGAAGAATTTTCACAGAAATCATAATGCCATAAATGCAGTATGTCGTAACATAATTTATTTTCTATCAGGTTCTATGCCATATTACGTAGTGTCCAGATAAGCGACGATTTATTATAAATCAATAAATGAATTTAAAATGTAACTAATAGAAACTGCAACGTATCTTTTGAATCTGCAAACTTGCATCTTTGTTACTCATTATTATAATTATAATATATTCATTTGGATTGGAATATTTTGGTAAATCATATTAAATTAAATCGCTCAGTGTATTATGAAGCAAAAGGTACGATAAATTTTTCAGAAACGCACGAAGCCTTTAAATTTGAATACCGCCACGCTTTGCCCGGCGGCGTTCCGCACGCGGTTGGTAAAAACGTATATACTTCTAGAAAGCCGCCGCGTCGTTTCGCCGAGACATTTTTTCCGCTGGCAAATAACAGAGTTTTGTAATCGTATTTTTGGCGACTGAGGCATTGTTCGCGGCTCTCTGTTTAATGAGCGTATAGGATTGGCGGATGGTAAATATTTGCCGGGGACGGAAGTTAGAGAATTCCGAGCACACAAAAACTCGCGGATGTAGATTCAATTGTGTTCGCGAGCTTACCGAAAATTTCAAAAGCCCATGCAGCCCGAACGCCCCGCGGACAATTCGCGGAGAATGCCGAGCAGAGGTCGAGGATGTCCTCGAAGCTCAAACGTGCGTCCTGCCTCGACGAGAATACACGGTATATCGCATCACGGAATGGATTGCACTGTAAAATATTATATATTTTATCTGTGTATTACATTATATCTGTACTTTATGATCTTTTGTTTTTCTTGAAGAATGAATGAATCGTGTAAAAAAAATAAGAGCACTCTTGATTCACTCTCGCTTCTTTTTCGCTTGTTAAACACAATCAAGGATTGCGAGTTCAGAATTTCGAAATGAAATTTTTAATTAGATTAATATAAATTTCTTAACATAAATGTTGATATCTATTAATATCGACAAGACCGGTTGTCTTGAGATATCTTATATATTGAATATTCAAAGGACACAATGTGTTTCGTTCCTCGTGCCGCAGTTAATCATCGCTTCGTATAAATAACGAAATTTCTAGCTCGCAGAAAAAAATGGTAGCAGCTTACCGTCGCTTAAGAAGGATTTATTGCTGCACAATATACGTGTTGTTTAGAGTAACAAAACGTTGTATACCGTGATAATCCAATGCTTTTTGCTATCGGAATTTTTTAACACCGTTTTTCCAAAACGCGATTTTAATTCAGTTTTGTATATAAAATAAACCTTAAAAAATAGTCGGATACGTTTCGCATATGAAAATATCAAATAACGTAAAATTTAGGACTTACCTGAATCTGCGGAAGAATTTTGTCAATTTGTTCTACAGAAAAACGATAATGAAGATTTTGTTTAAGGATGCCTGGCTCTAAATCGTCGAGGAGTTTGTAGATTCTAACAATGATAAGTTAGTCGATTAATGATGTTAGAGTGATATTAGAAGTCGAGAAAATATTATTTTTATATAGAGGTATAAATAATACATACGATATTTACGATAGAAATTAATTCAATTATACATATTTAGGAGAGCAATTGTATATTGTATATTGTTAAAAGATTTTGCACAAAAATATGAAATTTTTTATACGCGTTATTTTCAGAACATTATTTCTGAAAATTACTCGAATATATTTGATTGAATTACATATTTGAAATTTAATGTACTCACTGGCGAATTTCACTCTTGGTTAAATACGTTAGATCGACGTATTCATGGAGAGCCTTCTCTGAAAGAGTATTTTCGTTAGAAAACGAATTACCCATAGATTTCAGTTTCGATTTACCACGTCGAAATCGGACCAACAGACCAATCTGACTGACGGTTATCGCATTAACATGATAACGTGCATTATCATTTCAATAGATCGGCTGAAAAAGAGCCGATATCGACACTATGAATTTTATAACGGCGGGACCTCTTAACTACCCAACGACGATAGCATTTACATTGTAGCATTAATTTAATTATTATATTTGATTATCACATTTATATCCGTAAAATTTTACAACCAAACAAATATTATGAATTCTAAAACTAAATGTAAAAAAACATTTTATCTTATTTTTGTTTACATTTTTCTGTAGTTTTAAATCGTCCACACTAAAAAGAAGTTTTGCTGAAGTATTTGAAAATTTGGTTAGATATAAATTTAAAAATAATTTTGTTGAGCCATTAAAATAGTTATATAAAATAATTATTTGAGAATACTCAAATTGATTGCTGAATATCAAAAATTTTTACCATACTATTGTCACGCTTAAC